GCCTCTTCGTCACTGCCATTGGCACTAATTAGCAGTGGCCAGACCCAGGTGCAAACCCCCACTGTCGACAGGCAAAGCTGCAACAAGTTGCGCTTTGCACCAATTCAGCTTCCTCCAGTTGCAAAAATGAGTAACTTCCATCAGTGCAAATAGCCACCTCACCTCTTTACACTAGTGCCCCTACACCAAGGTAGGAAATACCCAGTGCACACGAGACCCACCAAACTCATTGCCCGCACACCCTAGCTGTTAGCTGGTAAGAGGCAAAAGGCTCTATGGTTAGCCCATTGCCCCGAGCCATCCAGTCCCTCCACACATTCTCCGAGCACATCAGTGCATCATCACTAGATAGAAGTACAAAGTGAGCTGCCACTCATTTCAAACAACAGCCGCGGGATAGTTAGAATGATCTACAGTTTGCACATAGGAGCTTTGGGTTCGTTAACTAAGCTCATGCAAATGGAGTTAGCTCCAAGCAAATGTGTGGCTCGGATAACTATTTTTTTCTCTAAGTGCTTTCCACAGCGATTATTTTGATTAGTAACTGTCTCTCCCTCACCTCTTCCCAGTCCCCTGCCTGCCCCGGCTCTGCATTTCAGGGCCTGATCCCCCTCCCACCGACACCACACTGACTCTAGTGTGTTCTGTGGATTCTAATCCACACGGGAGGAAGCACGAGGAGAATCAGGCCCTGGGCTCCTTCTTCGGACTGCATCTAGAAGCGAGACAAAGGGGCAGGATTCCTTCCCTCCCTTACACTGGTATAGCCCCCACCAAAGCCAGCGGAGCGTTACACCAGCGCTGGTGACATCAGAATCAAGCCCCGAGTCTCTGGCAGCAGAATGCCTCATTGTAATAAGCAGGGCTCAACGCTAATGAGAAAAATCAGCCCAGTGGGGAAGCAGCAGGCTGCGTCTTGTGGAGAAGAGGTTCCTTCAGGACAAAGGGAAGCGTTTAATTAATACATGGAGATTTTATGCTGTGCAGAGGTGGTGCTGGGAGCTGGGGTTTGCTATTAAAATGGAAAGGAAAAAAAGCCGCCCCTTTTCCAGCTCTCAGAGACATTTGCATTTGTGAGACAGAATGGCGTGTTACCCAACACACCAGCAACTCATGAACAGGAGAGGGATTCACAGCCTCTAGGCCGGGACATGGCTCCCTCTGGCTCTGCATGCTGAGCAGTTTTGGCCTTTCGACGGGCTGGGCTTCACTGCCATCGGGATAATAGTGGCACGGTGCGCAATGGATTCCAAATCCACTGATAGCCCCGCTGGCTTCAATGGGAGCGGGAGGAGAATCTTGGTCATCACAGAATCAGAAGTGTAGGACTGGAAGGAACCTCAAGAGGCCATCTAGTCCTGATCCCTGCACTCAAGGCAGGACTATGTAATAGTCCTGGCAGGTGTTTGGAGAAACTGTTCTTAAAAACCTCCAAAGACAGATTCCACAACCTCCCTAGGCAATTTGTTCCAGTGCTCAGCTACATTCCGGACTTTCTGCAATTTTGTCCACCTCTTTCCTGAAATGTGGCGCCCAGAACTGGACACAATACTCCACAATCACAATAAATCAATGCAATAATCTGCACTCATATTGTACAGTTTAGCCAATCTGCTTTACAAAGCTGGGGCGGTGTCCATCTCCCAACAGGGAAACTGAGGTCCAGGCTAGGCAAGCAACCTGCCCAATATCCTACACACAACCCAGGAGTCCTGGCTCGCAACTCTACCGGACTGCACCACTGCCCACTGTAGCGGGCTGTGCTGCTGTGGGATGTGTGCTTCATGGAATTTCCCACATGGAGTTCAGAGAGAAGTTTCTTAGCCTTGACTAGTTTCACACACCACTTAGCAAATTAGAACCACCAGCGTCCCACCCCAGGCACTAATCCCAGGCTGTTTTACAAACACTCCTGTCATTTCCTCCTTCCCACCTCGCTTATTATTCCCCTGCATCTGAATAATTTGTTGACATTTCCCTCCCCTTCCCTTAGACAGTATCTGTGACCACAGCTACATCAGCCCAGTTTGCCATTACATCAGCTCGCCCATGCTAAGCCGGGCTGTGCCTGCTCTGTATTTGGAAGGGAGGCCTGCAGGGAAAACACAGCAATTCGCTGCAATGCTCTTCCCAACGCCCCAGCATGGTACCAAGAGGGACCAAGTTCTGGTGCTTATGGCAGAGTTATCAGTCCCACCCACTCTGTATCTGCAATGGGGCAACCTAAATTGATCCTGTAGCTTCACCTGGCTTCAGCGTTCTCCTTCACTTCCCATCTTCAGTGACTGCGTGGCATTCCTGGGCAGTGCTGCCTTCTGCCCCAGAGGTAACTGCATCTCAGCTGTTGGTGAGACCATCCCGTATTGCAGTTCCTATTTTGCGTTTATCTAGCTCCTTCCCTGCAGGAAGGCCTGTCCCTGTCGAGCGCTGAGCGCTCCCAACTCCTACCACTGTCCACGGTGCTCAACAAACAGGGCTCAACATCTCCCCGGGTTGGGCCAGAAACAACCAGAGGCCCACCACAGCCGAGACTATCTTCTCAAAGAGGCTGCTCTTTGGGATCCCCGAACTCCTCGATCATGGGCTCCTAGACCTAGAACCTCAAAGGTATTTAGGCTCCTAATTTCCCTTGAAACCAAGAGGCCTAAATACATTTGAGTATCTGGGCCCTACTTCCTAAATCATGGTGGGAGCCTGCTGCAGGGTGTGATCAGACAGGCCATAGCTGCTGCCATTTGTGTTTAGCTAGGGGGATGTAACTAATTAGCTCCGGGGCTGCTAGCTGCAGAGTAAATATCTCCCCCCCTTTCATCTGTACCAGGTGGCAGTCTGAGATCAGAGGGGACGGTGACTTACAGCTGGCAGGACAGCACTTCAAAAGGGGCCACCAATTTCACTGCTCAATGGCAAATGCAAACAGACGGGAATGGTTTTCTCCCACGGCCTCTGCAACAACTTTCCAGAGAAGGCTCAAGCCACAGCATTCAGATCTGGATCACAGGCGCCGTGATCAAGCTCTGATTTATCACCTAAAAAGAATGGCTCAGGCCTAGGAAACTCCTTCAGACCCTCTGCAGTGCTAAGTAGTCAGGGTATTACTGAGCAGGGCTGGATCTCACATGGTGACAGCTCAGCATAGCCCATTACCTAGACTCTGAGCCAGCCACCCCACTCCCTCTCATGTCTATGCAGCTACAATGGAACGGGATATTCTGTATGTCCCCTGCCGGTATCCCTTGTTTCAACTACCTTCCTTCTCTGCAGAGACGCACTGGATGAGGGCTTCTGGTATTAGAAATACCTCATTAGAGAATTCCAGATGTGATGACCCAAAAAGCCACTAGGTGTCCTCAAAGCGGCACAATAAAGCAACCCAAGACAGTCCTGCTCCTTTGCCAGGCTCAAAGATTAACCAGGCAACTCGCTGGAGTGGCAGGGAACTCAGTCCTGGCGACTGGGTGGGTTTGCTAGGCCTCTCTGCCCCCTGGATTTCTGCATGTTCCATTGCTGCACTTTGGGCTATCGACTGCCTTTGGGCTTCAGGATGCAACCCACAACCAACTACCCCAACCAGCTCGAAAGCCCACATGGCACGTGACAGACCAGAGCAAAAGGCATCATGGTGCTGGCCCATCCACTGAAGTCTTGAGTCACCCTGGAGACACTCTTCTATCTGGCCCAGATTTCCCCAGCCCTGGCAGGGAGCCTTCATTCCTGCCTCCCAACAAGAGTGTTCTCTTTCTCCCTCTCCTGACTCCTTGATCTTTGAGGCAGAGTCAGCCAGCTGCAATCAGCCCAGACCTCTGCTACCATCTGTTGCATTGCCTCTGACTCACTGGCACTGCTTGATCTAGGCCAGGGGTGGCCAAACTTTCTGGCCCGAGGGCCACACTGGGGAATAGAAATTGTATGATGGGCCATGAATGCTCACAAAATTGGGGTTAGGGTGTGGGCTCTGGGGTGAGGCTGGGGATGAGAGGTTTGGGGTGCAGAAGGGTGCTCCGGGCTGGGATTGAGGGGTTTGGAGAGTGGGATGGGGATAGGGGCTGGGGAAGGGGGAGAGGCTCAAGGGGTGCAGGCTCCGAGTGGTGCTTACCTCAAGCAGCTCCCGGAAGCAGTGGCATGTCTCTTCTCCAGCTCCTATGCGGAGAGGCGGCCAGGTGGCTCTGCACACTGCCCCATCCACAGGCAGCTGCCCTGCAGCTCCCATCGGTGCAGCCCCCGACTCAGCGCCCCAGCCAGAGTGCTGGAGCAGGGCCGAGCTGTGTGGTGCGGCTTGCAGGCTGGATCAAAACAGCTCGCAGGCCAGATGTGGCCTGCAGGCCGTAGTTTGCCTGCCCCTGATCTAGGCCCTATCCTGAATGTAGAGCCTGGATCCAAGTGAGGAGTATTAAATTGGGCATTTGGGGAAAGACTAGGGAAACGTTTGCAGCACGTCCGACAGGCTGATCCCCCGATTAGAATGAATCCACGTCTAGGCTTTGCATTATGGAGCTGGGGAGGATCCCAGGGGTTATTTTGCTGAGCCAGGCCCCACAGAGTTACATCACCATGACAGCACGGAGTGCCCACCTCCTAGTGAGCAGGGAGTGTGGCCAGAGAGAATCTGCACAGCTGGGACTCATCTGCAGCAAATACTTCCCCCAGGAGCTGCAGCATCTGGCTTAGGGAGATGAAACTGGATTATTGATGCTGACTCACAAAATGCCAACATCTCATTGTGATGGGCCCACTTCTCCCTGCAGAAAGCACAGCCACTGAGATCCGGTCACATCACCCTCCCACTTTACACAGGTGCGAACAACTGCAAGGCAGCAGCCGCTGGATTTTACACCCTCTTTCTCCCTTCCCTGCCTAAGTGCCCTCTGGTGTTCCCAGCAATGTTCTGCATCCCCTCACTCTGCTCTGAGCTGCTAGCATCAGACGCTGCCTGGCAGCTGGTGTGCTGGGTAAGAGGAAAGTATATTTTGTGCAACAGTTTAAAAAGGATTTTTTTCCAGTTTGTTTGAAATTCTGTGATTTTATTTTTTACAAAAATATGTAAATGAGATATTTAAAGTTGTTCAAAAATTACAATGTTGTAACAACAAAAATTTCCCCGCTGTCACTGGGCCACACACTGGGAACTTCACAGCAACTGCAAGGATAGAATTTAGGTGCTCATGGCTTAGAGCTCAAGTCCCTGCCATTTGGGAATTCCCATTATCTGCTACCAGTATAGGGCCTATGACACACAGCTGAGCAGTTCCGACTCTATCCAGGAGAGGGCAGTGATGCACAGCCGCACAGTACATGACACTATCCAGTAGGGAACAGTCCTGCACTGGGCTGAGAAGGGGCTGGACAAGATATGCTCGCTCTTGGAGCTCTTTTCGATCCCTAGGTTATAGCAGGGCCTTGGTGTAGTTACCTTGAGAGGGCAGAGGTCCTGTGTCTCACGCAGCGTCTGCTATGGGAAGACGGGCGGCCGATCAGGAATGGCTCGGTTATCACTGGTTACAATCGGCTGCGGCTGCTGCGGCGTTGGGCTGGCTCTCTCCCTGGTCCCTGCAGTTTTGTGGGAGCGTAATCTGGTTATGACCCCGCTGCCAGGCGTCTTCCCTCAGAGAAGCACTGTGAATGGGCCTGCTGCCCAAGAGACAGCTAAGCCAGGCGGTCCTGAGCTGGGTGCACTGGGCTTGGCGTGCCAGGAGCTTTGCAAGCACCTGTGTTTCTGCTCCTCTGGCCGATTGCGGCTACCTTTATGGATTGTTTCAAAGTGCTAAAAACTACCTCAGGGCTCCATTTCCCTGGACTTTCCTGGCCCTACGGTGGCACCAGTACCCCAACCACCCCACCCTGCCGTGGCAACAATAACCCATCCATCCCCAGCCCTGTGGTGGCACAAATTCCTCAGGGGCCTTGTCCCCAGCCCCGCTCATCCGTTGCCTGGCCCCTTAGCATCTCCAGTCACTGCTACTCGGAACACACTAACAGTCGCCCTGCACTCCCATCAGGCCTTTCATCCCAGGATCCCAAAGTAGCTACAAGTCCAAGCAGCAGAAGGCCAGGGAAATGGGGCCCCAGTAGCAGCAAGGCTGTAACACCCTTCCATACCCACGGCTAGAGTCACCCAGCCGAGCCCTATCCATAAACGGCTGAGAAAACTGTGCTCAACTTCCCCTGTTGCAGACAGGCCCAGTGATTGCTCTGTGCTGGTATGAGTCATGTTTAAACGTGACTTAGCGTGAGCCGCATGGATATGGATTTCCTTCTGAGAACCGTGCAGGCCGGCCACGGGAGAAGCACAAGGATGGTTTTAGAACATGATGACGGCACAGATGGCAGGAGAAAACGAACCCCCCTTCCTTGTTCTGATCAGGGAAGCTCTCCCTGCTAGCAGCCGCCTTGTCCCATGGCTCTGCCCAGTGCAGCATGGCCAGGAGATTAGCCTGGGCAGCTATATCGGCCTGCCAAGGGAGAGCCTGGCTTTGTTCTCATTGACCGAGCCTGTCACCGGAGCGCTTGCCCCATCACAAATCACGTTTACAACCAATGGGCTCTTTCAAAGGCAGGAAGCATGGAAGGATCTTAGGTGGTTTACACTTGTGATTGGCTCTGGCTAAGCTGCCATGCAGCTTCCTCCCCTCCCGTCCTGCAGCTACACCCTGGCTTGTTCTGCACAGGATGGGAAGGGATTGTCACTGGTAAATCCCATTTTCCTCTAAGGCAAATGACTTTATTCAGAAATGTACACAAAAAGCCAGTTAAGCTGGTGGCTGCAGCAGTGTTAAGGCTGCCCTAGTGCAGGGCCTTCGATGTCAGTCTGTACACTTGCTAGCGACAATAAGAATTTCCCAGGCTGGCTCCCCCTCTCTTTAGTCCACGCCCCAGCTTTGCAGCTCCCCAGTTTGATCCCTCCACAGCAGGGAGGGAGCTACAGAATCTCTCACTGCAGAGAGCCTTTGCTCAGTGAATACAGGTTTTAATTGTGCTGCTGCTAGGAGCAGGAATCGCAACCCATCCATCAAAGAGCATTTGGCCACAAACCACAGATACAAATTTAATCAAAACCAAGGAAGAGGAAGTGACCGCTGTGGCATTCTGGCTTCGCTGTGGGACGCGTGTATGAAGAGGTGGGTCCAAAGCCATCCCCTAAACTCTCGGGGTGTTGGAAATCCAAAGCGAGCTCGAGGTCCAGGTTTTGAAAATGGTCCTTTATCTGTGAAGTGAGCCAAAAAATAATAATCGTGGATCTGAACACCCCAGAGCATCATGGGCATTAAAATCCTGACCTGGAACTGGATCTGAATGTTGCAGCTCGGCCCCATCTCTGTGCCAGAACAAGTGAAGGCAGGTCTGCCTGTTCTATGCTAAAAGCAGAGTCATCCGTCTGCTTCAAACGGTCCTCAATCTAGCCCCCGTGCCTCCATCTGTCAGAGCACGCCCAGGAGTGCTGACAACGCTTGGCTTCAGCTCTGGGCACAAGCAACGGGCAAGTTAATGGGAAATGAAGTTGCTGTCAATCCAGGCATTGGACTGGCTCCTCTCTGGCTGATGGTGCTCACCATCCATTCTAGCTTATATGATTAGGAAGTTCCCCTGTAGCTCGCCGAGGGATTCTGTGCAGGGAGGGATGTCTTGCACCCTGGGTGCTTGGCAAGCGTAATGTCACATCAGAACAGGAAGGCTGGTTCCATCCAAACAATGGAGTCAGAGGGGTTTCTTTAACCAGCGTGTCTGGCTACACAGGGTTTTCATGTGAGTGCTGCAGCTCTGAGCCATGGTTAGAGAAGCACAGTAGAGTATGAGCACATAGCCCCTGCATACCCTGATCTAAAGCGTCCTTTCCCAATGGCAGGGGACACAATGTTCCGGCTCCATGGGGCGCTCTTCTCAGCCAAGCTCCTTCTTGGACCTTTGCAGGTGGTCAGAGTGAATTCCTCCCCCCCCCGCCCACCCACCAAAGTGCTCCTCCTGGACTGGTCATCTCCCGCACTGCGGTACAAGGCTGGTGCATTCTTCAGCAATTTGGGGCTGGTGTAGGACCAAGAGCTGTGGGGTCTTGGATGAGGGTGGAGATGAAGGGGTGATGCCCGTGGGTACCGAGGCTGGCTAACAGACGATCAGGAGCCCCTGCTGGCCAACAGCTTCAGAGGTGTGTGCACACGAGGGTGGGGTGCTGCCGGGACGTCCTGTGAAGGCAGCTACAGAGGTGCAGCAGGAGAGAGCAGGGTGCAGACTACGCAAGGCTAATCCAGACAGCATCACCGCCACTGCTGCTTTCCCAGGACCTCAGAGCAGGACCCTCCAGGGGGTGGGGATTGGGAAGGGGCTGGCTAGGAGTCAGAGATGCACAGCGCCTCCACTGCGTCACTCAAGCCCTGGTTCACTCCGCCAACGGCCAGCAGGCAGTTCTTCACCACGATGCTGGAGCAGGTGCAGCGGGGGGTCGGCATGGGCGGCAGGCTCTCCCATTTGTTCTTCCCTGGGTGGAAGGCTTCAGCTGACTCCAGGACCGTTGGCTGGTTCCCTGAAAGAGCCAAAGTAGGGTGGAGGGGGGGGGGGGGGGGGGTAAGAGAGCAAAAGTGTGGTGGAGTCAGGATAAATATATAAAAATAATGGGGGGGGGGGAATCAGATTTGAGCAGAAAAGAAATCACCACTTTGGGGCAATGATCCAAAAGCAGAAATGGCCTCATTTTGTCATCTCTTTTCCCCCTTTCCCATGAGGATGCCTAGGAGGTCTTCTCTGCTACATATACTGAGGCCCAAAGAACAAAGATGTCTCTGGGTGGTCATGCATAACCCAAGGGGATACCTGCCAGCTTCTGCTCACATTCCTGCTTCCAGTCTTGCTCACTCTGTTTTGTGTTAATCATACAAATAAAAACACCACCTAGCTCTTACATAGTGCTTTTCAGCCATGTATCTCAAAGCACTTTACAAAGCAGGTCAGTATCCTTAGCCCCACTGGGGGAAACTGAGGTACAGGAAGGGAAGCAATGAGAACTTGCATTGAATAATTTCTTTCTTTCCACATATTGCAGGACACAGAAACCAAAGCCAGCGGCAAGCTGCAGCTTGTAGTGACTGGTCTGCCCCCTGCTGTCCAAAATGGGTGATGACCTCTAGTCTCTGCAGCTGTACCCAGCAGCCTTGCACAATGGCAGTTGTGCCACGCTGGCTCCTCAGGACCCACAATGCCCTTCCTGGCCTGCAATGGAATTGCCGGTTTGCACTCTTGTTAGGGCTGCAGTCAGCAGCTAGAAGGTACCATGCAGTGAACCCCCTGCACCATCCCTCACAACTACCCAGGAAGGAACAACTACCACGAAGGATGGCTCCCAAACACCCAGCAGCAACCATATGAATTTGGGGGGGGGGCAGGGCAAGAACTCTTTCACGGGCATCTCCTAATGGGAGTGGAAGCTCGCAGCTAACGCATTACCCAGAACTCAGGGGAGGGATGGGAAAGAGAGATTTGTACCTCACAAGCATCGTATGAGACAGAAGAGGATTTCAGCCTCGATTTTCATAAGTGACTAGTGATTTCAGATGGCTCCATTTTTGGGTGCCCCACTTAAGATATTGGAAAGAGGCTTCATTTTCAGAAGGCAGGTACTCAACAGAAAAATTATGCCGCTTCCGGGGTCCCTTGCTGGGCAGCCAAAAATGCAGCCACCCAAAATCAACAGGGACCTGTGAGAGTTTTGCCCAATTCAGGGTGAGATTTCCCGAAGTGCCTGAACAACACAGGAGACTAATGGGGAGATTTTCATAGCTTCGCATGGCAGTTAGACACCTAACTCCCACTGAAAGTCAACGTGCCTTTGAAAATCTCCCTAAGGCTCTCTGAAACTTAATGGGATTTGGGCTCTGAAGTGCTTAAGTGAGTTTTGAAAATGGGGCTTAGGCTCCTCAGTCACTTCAGTGCTTTTGAAAATGTTACTCTTCGCCTCCAGTTGTTCCTCACCTAGCCCCCCGGCCACGATGACCCTTCCTTTCAAGTAGCCAGCGACAAAGTCCGCTCGCCTTTTCTTTAGGAAGGAGGAGCGTTCCATCTTCATCCAGCCACCTGAGAAGAGAAAGGACAGATAGATGATCCATGCTAAACTCAGCAGTTCACCGCTCTCCTGGTGAAACTCAGTGGTTTGTTGGGGAGTTTCGCTCAGAAGCTTTGGTTCTGTTCGAATCCCAGACACAAACTCAGTCAAAAGTCACTGTGGGGGAGGGGGGGTACTAACCTCACACAGGGTGAAGTTAGAGATAGACCTGAGCCAAAATCCCAGCTCCCTGAAGGGCCAGGCATTGGATGTTTGAAATCTGAGCTCAGAAAAGGATACCGATTTTTCAAAAGGCCCTTGTCCTATCTTTCCAACAGGCTGAACCGAACCCTGGATCCAAACTGGGCTGCTAGAAAAATCTGGATTCAGATTTTACATCCTGTGCCCATCTCCAGAAAGTTGGCATAAACATCCCCTCCCTCGCCAAGCAAAACACCTGCATTTCACACTAGCCAGACACACCAGCAAGCCAGGGGAAACCAAGGCCCTGCTTGGTGTTTCCTTACTGAAGGGAGAACAGCTGAGAATCCATGTGCTCCATGCAGTTCTTACCTGTATGCAAACAGGTGCGGCACAACTAAACCAAACCCTGCTGGCCTCTCCAGCTCCATAAAGCCTGTTTGCCTGGCATTGCCCTGGCTTGTGTAAGCCTATGTCACAGCTGACCAGGGTCTCTCAGGGCAGTGTCCAGGAGAGAGTTTGGTGTTGGAGCCAGCTGCCTGGACAATGGGTTTGCCACCTGCAGGCTGCATGGCTAGTTTGCTTTTTTTACTATTGATGACATTCCTTCTGCAGAGCTGGGTGCAAGCGATCCACAGTCAATCCTGCGGGAGGCAGTGTGCCTCAACTCTCAACAAAGCCGATGGGAGCTGCAGATCCCTCTCAGCCCACCTAGGTCTAGCTCTCTCTCTTTAGGCCTTTGCTGACTTAGAAGATACTGCCCTTCACATCACACACACTCCTCACCTGCAAGCATTGAACCTGATGGACACCCACCTTGCTCAATGTCAAACACATCCACAGTCTTCATGAACTTGGGCTGCCGGTACAGCCTGCCCTGCCGCAGCCCCCCGAGACTGAAGAGGCTGTTCTCCGTGGGCACGAAGCTGGAGAAGGCCCTTTTGCTGGGGATGCTGGGGAACTTGGTCCACGACCTGGTCTCTGTGTCGAAGACCTCGAAGGCATTGATGGCGTATTTGGACTGCCTCCCACCTGTGACAGACATGGGGACAGCAGCATACCAGGGCAGGGTCAGTTTGTCAGTTTGCTGCTTCCAGGCTCCGGGAGAAGCCTGGGCTAACTGGGAGTAACTTACCTGGCAGCTGAAATGCGTGAGGTGGGTTCCAGGCAATACAGAACCATATGAAGGAACTTAAGTAACCAACTTATAATTATTATTACCCTTATCCATCCTCCCTCCCTCTGCTTTCATCCGCCACACTCGCTGGATGCATCTTAGTCTTAAATTAGATGGTAAGCAAGGCTGGTCAGAAAGTTTCCATCCAAACGGTTTTTCAATGGAAAATTGGGTTTTTAACTAAATGAAAAATATCAGGAAAAGTATCAGCTTTCTGTGGAAATTTTCAGTTTCTTTCATCAAAAAACCCAAACACTCAAAACCCAAAATATTTGTAATCTGAAATGTTGCTGCAGTGCCTCATGGGAGTTGTAGTTCAGGTGCCTCATGCTCCCATTCTCCTCTATAGGCTAAGCTCCCTGGTTGGACTACGTCTCCCATGATGCAGCACAGCCAGGGACTCCCATGATGCTCTGCCTCCTCTAACAGAGGGGAAACTGTGGTACATCATGGGACATGGGGTCTGACCAGAGAGACCAGCTTATAGCACAGAAAAGGCAAGAAATCCCATTTTCTGACCATTTTCTCTAACTGGAAGGTCTTTGGGGGCAGGGACTCTCTCTTCCTCAGTGTGTACACAGCACCTAGCACAATGGACCCCTGCTCCTAAGAGGGACCTTTGGGTGCTACAGTAATACAAAATAACAATGGTAATAAGCCCAGTTACTAATGGAGTTGACCATCTATCCCAGCTGTTGGCAGGGGTTGACTGGGCCATAGAGATTAAACTCTCCTCTTGCCGTGGCGTGGGATCCCTTCAGGTCAGGGACGAGGCGCAGTGAATGGGGGGAGCTTGTCTGTGCCAGCCCTGTAGATAGACAGAGACCATCCGCCTCCAAAGCTGTCAGTACAGTACATTTCACCAGCACTTATCCTCACTTGGCAACCTTTAAAATCAATAAGTAAACGGATCACTCGGTTCCCTGAACAAGGTTAAAAATGTGATTTGATGTGTGGCGCGCTCCTTGCCGCACAGCCATCGTGGAGCCCAGCTGCTCTAGGATGACAGCACATGGAAATGTCACTGCCACGAAGCCAGGGGATGCAGGGGAAGGTCAGCGCTGGGGGAAAGAGTCGATGACAGGAAGTGGGAAGACAACATATGAGGCTTTCGGGGGGGGGGGGCAGCGGTGGGATAGGGCCGGGGGGCTGAGGTACAAAAGCCAGTGGCTGGGATTTTCAGAACAGCTTAATAATTAATTATTTTCATGGTGGAAGCACCTAGGAACCCCGGGCAGGGGGTTATGCTAGATGCTGTACAAACACAGACCAGAGAAATGGTCCCTGCCCCGAGGAGCTTACAATCCAAAGTATAAGACAAGAGACAACGGGTGGATACGACAGAGATCGGGAAGCACTAGGAAACCATGGCACATTACCCTCAGCTGATCGACAGTGTTCTCAACCACACCAGCTACCTAACTGCTAAGGAAGATGGTACCCAACTTCCATTCAAAATCATCGTAACTGTTAATATTATGGTGCTTGTTGCTGCTGGAAACAGAACACTGGACTACATGGAAGACTGGGGTGATCTACTGCGTCCCTCCTCCTTGACGGACTCTGAATTTAGCATTCCCTTGTAGGGACAAGAACCCAAACGTGACAGCACTGAGCTAGTGCAAAAGGACTGGAAAATTAAACGGACTATGGACAGTAAGCGGAAACAATTGACCTAAAGCTACATCTACATGGGAGCTGGGAGGTGCGATCCCCAGCTCTTGTAGGTTTGTTCAAGCTGGCATGCTAAAAACAGCACTGTCGCCAGGGTAGCACGGGTGGTGGTTTGGGCTAGGCGCCAGAGCATGTACCCACTCGGAGCCCCGGGTACGTACTAGGGCAGTAGCCCCAGCTACACAAGCGCAGGCATGTCTATGCAAGCTGGGAATTACACCTCCCAGTTCAAATGTAAATGAGGCCTAAGGAGAGTGAAGTGCAAAAAAGGAAACAAACGGTAGGAATGTATAACTAATGGTGGTTCAGCACTGCCAATTGCAACCCCTCTGAAATCATGAGTCAGGCCATCAAAAATCCTGAGAATGTGACAAAGACTTCAAGATTTTTTTTAAATAATAAATGTTGTGGTCTTTTTATTTGCCTCCTTAGTCTTTAGGATTTATGTTTACAAGCTCTTCTCTGCAATCATGTGTTCTGGAAAGGTAGTTTGTTTTTGTTTTTTTAAAAACAAAAATAAAAGCTCAGAGATTCAAATAATCACATGACTCCAGGAGCTGGGGCTTTAAGAAAAATCAGCAAATCTCTCAAGACTTATAATAAAATTACTAAAGTTGAGAACACTGGTTCATGCTTTAAAATTCTCTCCTTTGTAATAGTCTAGAAGTGCCATTAGTAACACCATGAAGGACATTTTTAAAAAAGAAATATTAAAATATTCATTTGAATTCAACAGCCTGAACCTGAAACTAAATAGAACTAGACTTTTCCCAGCTTCTATTTCATACAATGAAAACATGTCCTTTTTATGCACCATGCACTTCATGTTCCGCACTTAGAGCGACGCTGGATAGCTAGCACTGAAAGGTATTTAAATACGTGCCAGTGTAATCAAGGCTAATTCACAGTAAGATGGGTACTGCCAGCTCAGGAACTTTTGCAATTCAGACTGGGTTCAGCACTGGTGCTGCCCACAACATGGCCAAGAACTCAAAGTGATAGACTAGAACGGCCGAGGCAGCTAGTACTTAATGGCAAAAGATGCCATATTATTCTTTTTATAAATCAAATGCAAATGAATACATTTATTTCCCGTTCAGGTGCTCGGCATGTCTTTGAAGACTGGAAATGCGCGCTTGCTGAAGGGCCTTGCACACTGTGTGATCAGTAGAAGCGGGTAAACTTCAAATGCATCAAAGGTTCTTTTCTGCAGCAACCTTAAGAGAGGCAACATTACCAAGGGATTTGAGTGTAGTCAGGGCTCCTTGGTTTTGATCCAAGCTTTGCCACCGACTTGCTGTGTGATCTTAAGCAAGTAGTGCTGTACCTCTGCCTCAGTTTCCCCATATACAAGAGGAGGATAAGGATACTTACTCCCCACAAAGGGGCAATGACATCCTGACATCAGTGGGGTTTTGTTATTCAGGATCAGACCCTTATGTTTGTACAGGGCTTTGAAGACATAAACGGTCTCTGTATAGACAGAGCATTTTTATTGTTATTAAAGGCCAGGTACTTGTGCAGGTGTCTCTGGTCTGCAACTTGAGTGGGCAACTTATCTCCCTCATAACAGACCCAACCCTGAACCTGCAGGCGCCAATGGCCAAAATCCCACTGATTTCAGCAGATGCAAGAGCAGGCCTGGTATTTCTAATGGTGGCTAAACCCATGGGATGCATTAAAATCACCACTTGGGGGTGGACGGAAGCAGCTGCCAGAACCTCCTATGAGGTTTTAGGTCAGTCTGCGTCTGTTCTAGGAATTCTCTCACCGTCAGCATTCACAGGAGCACACGGATCAGAGGAGCTTTGTCCAGCAGACCCCCTACAGAAGAACAAGGAAGGAGGCAGCCAAGGCCCATCCTTACCAAGCACGTAGATCTTGGTGCCCCGCAGGAAGGAAGTGGCGGCGTACCTAGGTGTGGGCATTGTCGCGAGTGACACCCAGATGTCCTTGAGCATCTCGTAGTGCTGCATGTAGTTGTGAGGCCGCAGGTCCAGTCCCATCCCACCAGCCGCATAGACTCTGTAGTCTGCAGAGGGCAGAGAAGCAGAGGCCACAAGAGCTCAGGAATGCATCCAGATCCTAGTTATTTCCTGGGACAACGAAAAAGACACTTGCCCTCAGGGCAATCTCCAGGGTGCAAAAACGCATGCATTGCATGCATGTGAACATGCAGGTGTGTGTTTGTGCATGCCTGGGCTCATTGCACTGTCCTCTACTGGATAGAATCAGAACTGCTGAACTCTATGTCATAGCCCTTGTACTGCTAATAGGTCATGGAGATACTTTTGAGCCCCAGTTCAGTGCTCTATCCACTCCCCCGCAGGGCCTTTCTTCCTTCCATGTAAATAGCACTCTCTAGAACCTCAGAGTCATTGATCTGTTCTGAGATAGAGTATTTACATCCCTAAAAGTGAGAGGGCATATTTGCCCAGAGCACAGGTAACTTTGGGTCTAGAGTGACCATAGTCCCTTGGCACGAAGAATATTTGGGAGCCACCCTCTCAGTTTTCATGCGGTGCCCACTGTGCCATGTAAATCTTTGCAATAACTCAGACCAGTAGGTATTCTACTGTCAGGCCCATTCCAGTGCACCACGGCACTTGTCCTGGGCAGGGAAAGGGTTAATGAACCAGAAGCAGTTGCCAAAGAGGCTTTCTTCCCTTTCCTAACAATGGAATGAATATGAGTCCACCTCCTCTATCCCCCTCCCAGTGCACCTAGACAGATATTTAAGCACTACAGCAAATAAAGCACCTTTGTGCTCTGAACTGGAAAAGCAGCTTCACCCAAAGGGTGGGGTTTGTTTGATTCTCTCACCCAGCTTGCTTTTGCCATCCTGCCTGATTTATTCAGGGCCACCAAACGGTCACTGCAGACAGGGGCGTCTGCGTTTCATGGAGCCGATCCCGTGTCGATTAGCCACATTCCCAGCAACTCACAAGCCTGAATCTCAGTCTTCCGTGATGTCTACACTGCAGCTGGGAGCGAGCCCCCCAGCCCAGGCGGACAGACTCCCGCCAGCTGGGCTTAAGCTAGCCTGCTAAAAATAACCACTTGGGCATTCTGCTCAGGCTGGAGCTTGGGCTCCCTAGGTGGTCAGGTGGGCTTAAGACCCTGAGCTTGCACCAGAGCAGGAACGTCCACATTGCTATTTTTAGCATGCTAGCATGTCTTTGAAGTCTACCTGCCTGGGCTGGGAAGCTCAGTTCCAGGTGCAGTGTAGACAGACCCCTACAGGCCCAATAAAGCACACATGGTAGGGGTGAGAACTGGTGGCACAGTGGGAGCTGCAAATAAATGACTGGGGAATAGGGAAATAATGCCAGAGGGTCATGGGGGGAGGGAAAAGCCTGGTCACACAGGGGCTCTTTGCTTTCGATATAGAAATGCAGGGCTGGGAGGGATCTCCAGAGATCAGCCCTCCGCATGGAGACAGAATTAAGCCTGCTTAGACCATCCCTTCTGTGAGGGGAAATGGGGCTCATGACAGCGAGGACTAAGATCCCTGGCTGGCGCCAGATACGTGCCTGAGCTCTCACACAGCCCTGCTGGTGCCTTATGTCTTGACTTGCAGCACCCCCTGCTATTCCAGCCTTGGGGTTCCCATGTGGAGCTCAGCCAAAGCACCTCAATCCCAACCCATAGCCCCTCCTGCTCCTCAGTCTAGGTGTTCCCTGTACCCAGCTGATGCCCCACTGTCCTAGCCTGCATCACAGGGGTTAAGGTGGGGTGACTGTTTGCCTTTGGGGCTGCTTGGCCCCTGAGGGGGCAGGGTGCGAAAGGTGCTGTGGAGGAGCAGGTTGTGTTGTTTCACTCTGGCTGGATACAAGTACCTGGCTATTTCTCCCTGGAAGAGGAGATGAGGTCATAGAAACAGGTGGAGCACTCAAATTACAGCAGAATCAACACAGCACTCTCCAGCCCATACTTAGGGAAGGCGTTTGAACCGCCTCAGAGCAGGCAAAAGATGGTGAGTCCTGTGACCCAAGCCAGGACACACACAAGGCACAGAACCGATTTGTTGATAGCTGACCCCCTGTCACCCACATCTGTCCCTGGGTAACAACAAATGCAGTCCTCACCGATGGAATCCTTTACATACAGACACAGGGGGCGGGCGGGGTTTCTCCTACACAAACGCTTCTAGGCTTTTCTATTCCCAGAAATGAAATCCAAGAACCCAATGGCAGCAGCCTGGCCCACAAGAGCATCCCTACAATAATCTCCCAGTGTACCCAGAGCAGAGCACTACTGAGCATCCCTACAATAATAAACCAGTATAGGAAGCCCTTAGCAATCCCAAGCAACCCTATAACACACCAGCATATGCGCACCCCCCCACCCCCAACTTCTGAACAACCTTACACTAACAAACTAGTCTGCTCAAGGAAGACAAAATACTGTGGGAAGGATTTATGTTCCAGACTTCTCCAGCCAAATTGATCCCTGCTGTATCTGTGTTTAAGCCAGCAGACTTACAGCAGGGATGAAACCAGCTCGATAATGGTAAACATTGGGTTTTGGTTTTTTTTAAAATGCCTGGACAGTATCCTTTTTAATCCACCTAAAAATAAATGAAAACCCAACCACTTCCAAAGAAGCTGTCTGGCCATTAGGCAGAAGACGCGTTCATGATCCAGATCGCGTCAGGAAGCTAACTGACCTTCGGGCTCATTGCATAAGAACATGGCTCCCAGCTCGGGGCTTTTCATTGCATGGCAGCACATTCCAAAGGAAATTAATATTCCAGGCCTCCGCTTAGAAATTATAAACAAGACGCCTAAATAGGCAAGCCAGAGCCCTGATACAAGGATTTTCCATTTGTCCATTTAATGCCGTAGTATTATGAAAGGCAGAGGAAAGAGGAGTGTTTGGAGCTCACCAAAAGACACCTCCTTTTCTTGCACCACAGAATTTGTACCTGCATTTTGCACTCACAGTTCAGTCAGTGGTGCAAACCAGGGCCCTTGTGCCTCTAATGACAGTACCTGAAGCGGTGGGAATCAGGCAATGGGAGGCATCAATGCTCCATTCACACTTGTGCAGTTGGTTCATTTACACGGGTGCAAATTTTGGGATCCGGCTGGGATATCCCTACCGATGCTGCAGAATCCCCCTATTCCATGAGTAGCCCCATAGGGTATCGCAACCTGGCCCTTTTCAGGGGCAAATTGCCACCCTCTCTCCAAGGAAGATTAGGGCATTGACTGTTGGAAATGCACCTACTGATACTCTCCCTAAACTGGCCGTGAGGTTCAGGGAGTTCACAATGGGGCCTCGGGCATAGGCGGTGGGTTACATGGGCCCGCGGTGCCCATGCTCCACCAATATTCAGAGCACGGGGGTCCAGCTCCACTGGCCCTGCCCCCTGCCCCCGGGTGCCTCCCCCAAAGTGTCCCTGCGCAGCGGCTGGCTGCTGCTCCCTGCGCTATGCTCCCTTGCCAGCCGGTGGCTGGCTTCTTTCACACCGCGCCCACCAATGCCGCTCCACCACTCCAGCTACAAGGGAGTGGGGCGGGCTGAGACGGCTGCTGTGGTCTGCGGAGGGAGGAGGCACATGTGATGTGATGGCACCTCTCCCCCCGGGCCCTGACCCTTCACCAGTCAAGCCACTAGGTGGTGGGATGCATCCTCCCCACTTGGCGCCACGGGGGAGCCGGTGGAGAGGGGCCCTAGGGACACACGCAGCGTGGTGCGGGGTGAGCGTGCTGCCGGTGGCAGGCCCACCGACAGCGATTCTGGGCCCCAGGGCAGATCAATCAATGGCCCCGAACGCGCCCCCTCCCCGCCGCCAGAGGAGCCCCAGGTCAGCTGCAGCCCTGTCCCTGGAAGACTTCTGAAAGGCTGTTGAGCTGGGGTGGGCCAGGGAAAGCTCAAGGCTTTTCCCATTTATAATGAAATCAGGAGGCAGAATGACTGCACCTGTCTACTTAGTAGCTCAATATGGCTACGGTAGACTTGCCTGCTCCATTGTCTGTTTCTCCAGAGGGCAGTGGTACAAGTGCCAAACCAGATAAAGTGGTGGATCCCACCCATCCTGTGGCCCAAATGGAAGGAGAGATAAGGAGCCTACCATCTCAATTGTACAGCCCTTGGAAATAGATGCCAACCGAGAGCAACTTGTTCCTATTCGTAGCCCCTTGGGAAAAGTCACAGTAATTGTCTCCGCTCACGGATTCTAAGCCATTTTATGATTCTTGTAGCCTGGTTTGCAGAGGTTCTAAGTACTCATCACTGCCAGTGACATGAACGGGAGCTTTAGGTTTCCCGCATCTCTGACAATCAGGCCATAAGACCTTGGAAATACACATGAATGGGACCATCCCAAGGACCAAATTCTGCTCTCCATTCAATCCGGGATTGAAACTTGTGTAACTGAGAGCAGAACTAGGCCCTACATAACCCCTATGGCATCTCTGCCTTATAGAAAACCAGCAAAACTAGAGTTGGGCACAAGCCAAAACCTGGGATCCAAAAGTCACCCAATGTTGGGAAAGTTTGGATTGCAGCAATGCAGCTTGTGCCTGTCTAAAATAATCACGGCCATAAGAGTGCTCACCGTCCACAGGCAGAGCTGGAGAGCCAGTGGGAACCACAGGGTCTGTCTGGGTTCAGCAGCGTCAGTGAAAAGTCCTCTTTACAGTGGTTCTGGTCCAGTCCTGCCTCGTTTGAACATTGCAAGGGAGAGGGGTCTAGCTGACCCAACTTCTCCAACCTGAGGTAAGGCTCAGCTCGAGTTCCCAGTGCAGGGTTTGGGAAGGGGGATTGTTTCCTTGCCCCTGTTCAAAGCCCCCCACCACCCCAAGTGCCTCTGAAAGCTGTTTGGCTAGATACATAAGCTGAACCCATGTCCTACCCTCCACCCTTTCTCTCTGCAGTGCGACTCCCCACACGCTGCCTAGGAAACAAATTCTCCTTGCCTTTCACCGTCACGGAGATGCCCATGGAGGCTTCCCTCAGGGAGTTCCTCTTCTTCCACTTGCCCTCATCTATGTTGTACATCTCCACTATCTTCAAGGGCGTCTGCTTCATCCCGACCCCTCCTATCACCATGATCCGCTTGCCCAGGGTGGCCACGGCTACTCCAGCCCGGGCCGTGGGCATGGGAGGGAGAGAGCTCCAGTGGTTGGCTTCGGGGGAGTAAACCTCGAAGCAGTTCATGGGGACTCCGTTGCCATCGCAGCCTCCGATGGCAAAGACCTGGCCGCCTGCCTCCACCAGCGAGCAGTAGACCCTGCCACTGGGGAGTGGGGCGAGGGTTTTCCACTGGAAGTCTTTGGTACTGGGCACTTCCATTGCGGATCGTCAGGGATGAGGCAGCATCTGTCCTGCTTGCCAGGGGGCTGGCTAAGCTGCAAAACACAGCCAGAGATAAGCATCACACACAGACAAAAACCAACAGAGAAATATACAAAGAAACAGCCCCCTCCCCCCCCCCCGAGAGCCGGGCAGCCGGGAGCACAGCAACCCCTTCATGAGCAATGCATCCATGCAGTCGCCCATAATGAGAGGTCCCATCTACCAGAGAGCGAGAGAGAGAAGAAGGAGCCGGTACCTTTCATCACGTCTCCATTAATCCTGCAGTTCCACATCTGCCAGAGCAGCTCACGCGGAGCCAGGTCCTAAAAATAAAAGGCACAGGTTGGATTCAGCTTGCTCCCCCCCCTTTTCCAAGCATCCCCTCCCCCACAGGACATTCCAACCGAGGATGCTGCAAGCCGTCTGCTCCCCGGCTCAGAGCTTTCTTAGCTCATGAGGAACTTTTCTTTGTTTAATTCTTCATTGACAAGATTAATATTAATGCCCATTGTCAACGTCTTCCCAAACCCCCAGGGAAACCTACCATGGTACCTCCTGCTGGGAAAGGCAAAAAGGCTGGAGTACAGAGACCAACCCTCCAGCCACAGCTCTCTGACTGTCACACACAGCATTACAGCTGAACTGTAAAAGATCCAAAAAGCAGCCCAGCAGGACAGAGAGAGAGAGAGAGAGAGAGAGAGAGTCCCAAACTACCACTGGAAACCAGGGATTATTTTTTCCTCTCACCCTGAATAGCTGTCAAACCTTCAGGGGAAATGAACAAATGAAGAGCGACAGAGGAGAGCAGACACACAAAAGGGGAGCGAGAGAGGCAGCCACCCACGCACTCACACCTGTGTATAAATAGGGGTGCAAACCGCAGTGAGAAACTCAGCCTTCGTTATGTAACCAGAGCTGCTTAAAGTAAAGTAGAATTTATATATCCCATCACTCTGGGACTGTAGCACCCTGGACACACACTGTGTACAGAGCATAGGTGCACTTCTGGCTCCAGCAGCCAATGCTCCTCTCCAAGTGTCACAAACTGATCCCTGAAATTCAGGCCTCTGGCAATAATGGATATTTGCCACTATCAAAGGAGAGCACATGTGGAGGTTTGTTAGCCTATATGGGAAACCTTCCTGCACCTGGCATTGTAATGCTTCATACTTCTCCTTTATAGTGCTTTTCAGGGGAGGATCTCAAAGTGCCTTCACAGAGTAACGTTATCCCCATTTGACAGAGGGGCACAGAGAGGTGAAGTGATTTGCCCAAGGTCACACAGTGAATCAGTGTCCAAGATGGGGAAAAAAAACAGGAATCTGGACTCCCAGAGTGCAGGCCTATCTGACTTGGTGCCCTCTTCCTCCGGAGCTTTAGGGATCTTGATGCATGTGAGATGCAGCCTGAGCCTGCTCCTCTGCACGGTTTTGTTTTAGAGAAGCTAACGCCCATCATCTCGTCTCAACCTTCTGGCTAAGACTGAACATGGCGTCAGTTTAAGCCTCTGATACTGCGATTGCGCTATTGCGGGGGGGGACTCTCTCCTGTTTGGGATGGGGGAGGGGGTAGGATCAATAGCCTAATGGCACTTTCGTACCTATGATCCTATTTCAAAAATAAGGTAATGGCAAGCCCTATGCCCAAGCAAAGTCAGCAACTGGCTGCGTGGTCCTGGCTTTTTAGGGGACAGCTGGCTTTTTAGGGTAAAAGGCAAGCCCCACGTCCCTCTGCATCAGCAGGAGCAGAGGGAGAGGAAACAACTTGCCCCCAGACACTCCTGTGCACCCCATCCCAGCAGCCTGAGCTCACACCGCCACTTGCAGATCATGGCTCTGCCCAAAGGCAGCGGCTGGGATGCCCCTTGCCATTGCCAGAACTAGGAGCCATCACAGAATTCCAGAGGAGATATGTCTGCAGCACCTCCTACTAACCCACAGCGCATCTCATGCAATGCCTGGCATTGCTTCCTAAGGAGCCAGGCCTCCCACACGAGAAGCCTCTGGTTGCTTCTGGGCCGACAGGGCTGTCCACACACACTGAAAGGGTGGGAAGCACTTACTCCTCCAGTCCCGGCCGCATCGCTTCAGATCTCCCCAACCCAGAACCTTTTGACAGCAAGAGCAGATTGAGAGAGTCTGTAGCCTAGCAACAGCCACCTACAACTCCCTTTAATCACCCATCGATTTGGATCTGAGCTGGTATCCTGATGGGTTCACTGAACCGCACTGTGGAGCATGAGCAAATTCTCCCCAGAAGGAAAGAGGGGCAGAGGTTCTTCACGCCAAAGGAACCAGGGCTATCACAAAGGCTCTGCATGGCTGAAAATTTCCAGCCTGAATTCAGTGCTGTGGCAAAGGACAGAACTGATAGCCCTGCTATGGCACAGTGGGTAGTGCAGGGAGACCTGTTGTCTGTGCCCAGCTCTGGCACTGACCTGCTGGATGTCCTTGGCCAAATCACTAATCCCCCGTTTTCCTCATCAGGAAAGTTGGGATAATGATAGTTTGTATAGCCCCGCGAGATCCACAGATGGCAAGTGCTATAGAACAGCAAGCTATTATTATTATTTATCCCCGGGTGGGCATAGAACTGGCATCAGCAAAGCAAACTTCGCACCCACTGTCCTGCCCATCAATCGCTAGCCTTGATCTGTAAGGACCACCTGCAGGTGAGCTCAGTCTGCCTAGCCCAATCACTTCTTGGCTTCTTCACTGGGATTGCCAATAGAGGGAGAGCAACTGTGATGCAGACAGCTGACCACCGACAACTGGACTGAGATCCATCAAACTCTTTTCACACATGAGCTGCTAAGAGCTATAACCCTTTCAGCGCCTTTGGGAGCAGCCTGAGCGGATCATGCGGCCCCGTGCTGAGTCAGTTGCCTTGCTTCCCTTGTGAAATGCACGATCCTCATTGGAGCAGGAGAGGCACAGGGTTCCGAGGCCTCTGTGCAGTTTGGCCTGAAAGAAGCAGACTTTCCTGCATACGATTCAGTGGGTGGTCACTCCAGTTCAGCATGGGTTTGAGGGAAAAAAGCGATGCAAAACTGAGACAACAGGGCCTAGGAGCAAAATCTAAGGTAACCCAAACATAAAGGGGCTAACAACAACAGGGAGGCAACGTCACAATCCCGCAGTCTGTATTCAGCGGTCTCATTAGGGAACTGCAATGGTGGTGAAAATGAAGGGATTGAGAACACTGCACAGTGCAGACATTTGTTATGCAAGCTTCTTTCAGCCTAAGGGATCCTGCTAGTTCATCTCCCTCCTGACCTGGAGCAATTTGATTACTCCAGTCTTGAGCCTCCATACAGCCCTGCCAGTGCATCTCAGTCCTGATCTTGAGGAACCTGCTTTCCAGTGCTGGGTTCTTGACTCCCCCCGACAGCTTTGCTAATTGATCTTGGCCCTGACCTGAAGCTCTACACCCTGCTACTGCAGTAGAACCTCGATTTCACAAGCACCAGTCTTATGACCAACCAGTTATACAAACCATTTTTCCCAGCTGGAGAAAAACACGGGAGAACAAAAGCGATGACGAACAAGTAGATATCCCTTCCCATTCCGATGCCTTCAGTGCTTGGGGAATCGCTTTGCCATGGGGTGAATGACAAGACGAAAGTCGCGCAGTGAACCAGGCTGCAACTTATGCCCTGCACCTGCTGTATTTGAGCTGTTCAATTTTATGAACTGTTTGATTTTATGACCTGAAACTCCAATTAATTAGCAAAATAGGGGTTCTACGGTACATACCAGGTCTGGGCTCTCCTACACAATGCAGTAATGAGCCAATGCACCTCAGCCCTTCCCTGAAGGTCCCCCCCACCCCTTCATTGCTGGGATTCCCAGACAGTTCAGCCAGTGACCTCTCTTAATCCTGTCCTGGAGCAAACCCTGAGCCTCACACTTGAGCATCAGAGACTCCCAATTGCATCAGAGCATAGGAAACCCATAGGCCTGATCCTGGCCCCATTGAAGTGGACAAGAGTCTTTCCACAGACTTCACTGGGCTTTGGATCAGGCCCTTAGTGAGGACAGACTAAGCAGAGACCTGCCAAATTCATTCCAGCTGTGACCAAGTCAAATGGAACCCACGTGTGGGCATCCAAAGGGGAGCGTCTAGTGCATTAATCTGCTACCTCGTATGAATTCTGCTGCATTGGCATTGAAACAATCTTCTAGCCTTGCCGTCCACCTCTAAACAACATACAATAAAAAATAGTTAAGGTCAGCCTGAAACACTTAGTCTTTCCCACCTCTCTCAAGGGGCACTAGGATTTTCACTCCCAAGTAATAACTGTGCTATGCCTCGGGACTGTATGGCTGTCACTAATGTGCTGAGCAAATAGCCCCAACCTACTTCAGCCATGTTCCTCTTCATCTACTCCCAGGCAAATGGAATGATCACTTAATTATACCAAACAAATTGGAAGCGTTAACATTTTCTTCCTAAATGGCTATATTAAAACAAAAATGAATAGTAATTGCTTTTCTATCAAAGGAGATGGGAGAGGAGAGATTCTCTTCGTCATGCTGAGCCAGCTGCCAGAGCTGCCCGAATCGTTCTCGGCCAGAAACTGCCAGGATAAAAGCTCTTAGCAGCGGGGCATCCCTTGACCACCCAGTGCATTTGTGGTTCAAAGCAGGTGACAAGATGTTGAAAGCAAGGTGGCAGGGAAGGCATGAAATTTACAACCTCAAGAAAGAAAAATACATGGGGCCTGAATATGGGAGGTGAAACTGATGGGAGCAAAGGGTGCGCAGCAACGGAAGCCTCTAGCCCAGTGGTTCTCAACCAGGGGTACCGTATCCCTGAGGGTAAACGGAGATCTTCCAGGGGGCACATCAACTCATCTAAAGATTTGCCTAGTTTTACAACAGGCTATATAAAAAGCACTAGCGAAGTCGGTACAAGCTAAAATGTCATACAGACAATGACTTGTTGATACTGCTCTATATACTATACACTGAAATGTCCATACAATATTTATATTCCAGTTGATTTATTTGTATAATTATATGGTAAAAATAAGAATGGACACAAAAGTGTGCTATGACACTGGGTATTTTTATGTCTGATTTTGTAAGCAAGTAGTTTTTAAGTGAGGAGAAACTTGCGGGTACGCAAGACAAATCCTACTCCAGAAAGGGGTACAGTAGTCGGGAAAGGTCGAGAGCCACTGCTCTAGCCCATAGTTTGCATTCTACAAGAGTTAAAAACAACAACCTGGAAGCTGTTACAGACAAAACCATTATTCCTTGCCCTCTGGTTTCCATCATGCTCTGAACAGCTCACTGTTTGGTATCTCGGGGGAGTGCAGAACACACACAATTAATGTTACTTTTCAAATATTCAGCTGGCGTGGCTCCATTGAAGTCAACAGAGCTACACAGAGTCACTCCTGCTTGGAGATCCAGGCCCACGTTTTTTAAAGCAACATTATTTGCAGCAATTTGCTCTTCATGAAACAGCCATTTGAAATTTATTAACAGCTGTGTGTGTTAAGTCTTGTAGTAAAGTGATTGTGCGTGAGTGAGCTGGGGGGGAATGAACTCCAAACACACCTAGGTTTGCTAGAATGCAGGTAGGTCCTTTTTGCTACCTCTCTCCTCTCCTAGACTCTCATATTTCAAAGGGCATCATGCTCTAATGGTAACTCCTGCGCAGTGGGTCACAGCAAGGCCTAAGAGCCACTTAAGTCTTGAATCTTCATTCCAGTGAAAACAGCTTTGTTTGTATTTAAACACTGTCCTAAAGCATCAGCAAACCCAAACGTTGTACCCTTGTGGCTAGTTAGTGCCTGAGAGCCGAGAGCGAAACCTAACTAGAGAATGACTCGAAAAGAAAGGGAGTCTCTTTTCACCCTCCAAGTCTTAGATGTTGAAAAGTAAATGTGATGCTCACAATTCTTTTCATTTTATACCAAAGGTTAAGGAAATCTGGAGCCTGGTACACCACTGCATGCTCCAAGCTGATGGAATGATACCGATTTCCATGGAGTTACAAGGCTTGATTTGCCACTGTGTTTCTTAAAAATGTAGGGCTTCATTCTCATCTCACATTGGCTTTACACAGGCGACTCTGAACTCTGCTGGCTTTGGTGAAGTTACTCCTGATTTACACTGCTGTAAATTGAGAGGTGAGCTAAGCCCATGACATCTGACAGAGTCCCTTTGAGGATCACGATGCTACCATATTACAGCTCCCCAGACTGGTCGCACTGTTGCCAAGGAGTGGGCTAGATAGACAGATGCAGATTAGCCACCAGCCTGAGAAAGACACCAGAAACCTATATTCCTTCTGACCCCAAAAGAAAGCTCTTGTACTCACCTAAATGTCACATCAGATAAGCGCTGTGCAGGTCTGCTGTGTGCTATCTGAACAGTCAAGGAGGCTTGAATGTTTTGCTGTGAATAATATGACAGCAAACCAATACCAATAGCTGAATCCACAATTATTCTCAATACTCTGGGGACAGTCACAGCAGCAGAGACAGGAAGACGGGCAACTATAGGTTGGGAATGTTATGCAAACACTGGCGAAAGATCTCCTCTCCTGTTCCCCAAGCACAGCATCTACATTTGTGAGCGAGCTGCTTCATTTCAATCATACCGGCTGCCTGCACTCAGTTAAAAAGAGCAGGAAGAGACTACAGGCAGCATGGCTCGGAGATAGAGACACCGTCTCAAGGGAGGTGCTTCAGGGCTGAGAACCGAGCTGATACTTGCTCTTCGAATGTCACCATCTAGAGCCTGTGGGAACATATGAGGATGAGGTTGAGCGGATGTGGAGCGCACGTGGGATCCCGATCCAGCCTTCATGGGACACCTGGTGGCAGGAGGGAGGCCACGGCATGGAGCCCGTAGCTACATGCTCCATAATCACCACAAGGACTGTGCTGAAGATCACATCTCCTTGTGGCTGTTTTCCACCCCTGTACTGTGTACACTTCTTGGGGTATTGCAGTCAAGGGGTGCAGTTGCAGCTCATGCAGACATACCCACGCTAGCTTTCATCCAGCTCAATTGACTCACCTTGGTGAAACGTTCAGAGAAGAACTGAACCGTAGGCCTGCCTTACAGCACCAGCACACCCTGTTACACGTGCCGTTAACAGAGAAGCAAGAAGCAGCATTTTAAAAATTTGAACTTGGAGCTTCTTGACAATACAACAGGAACAAAAATCACATTTTTCTAGAACAGGATAGGCAGCTTATGGAGAAACAAAATACAACCAAACGAGGGGAAAAAAATAATTATGAATATTTCTTTCAACCTTTTTTGTCCTGTTGCTACATGCACAAAAAGTTGGCAGGATGCAATGTATTTTAAATAAACACATGCTGTGTCCTGAAACGTTCCAGACAAGCGAATGTCCTGTAAACTTTGATTATAATGTTTCATTTCAAGATCAGCTGCTTCAGCTCATCTAAAAATATATATAATTTAATTCACGTGCTTTATTTTTTTTGTTCGTTTAGTTGCATGGAATGTTCTGGATGAATTTCAGCCAAGGTGAACCTAGTGCAAAGGGCTCGATTCGTGGGCTGACAGACATCAGTGGCAAAAGCCCCAAGGCTAGCAGAATCAGGCCTCGTTAGTTATGTCCTCTCTGCAAATAGAAGTGGGTTTTTACATCAAGGTAGCTCTCTCGATGTAAAATCCTAGTGGAAGCAAGGCATTGTTGTTTTTATCTTGATGCAGCTATTCAAGGTCAACTCTCTGCCCACCACCTGGGGTTGACCTTTGGGAGCTGTATGGAGGTGAAAAACTACCCATATCTTTTCTCTATTTGAATTTTACACCGAGCAACCAAGTTTGATGTAAAATGCACCTTTTTGCAGTGAAGACATAGCCAATGAGCAAAGCATGAAATACACCGTGGGGCAGATTTTCAGAAAAGCAACAAGCCAGATTTCTCAGTGCGAAACACACATAATGGGGCCAGATTTCCAAGCACTCAGCACCCAGTGGGCACCCAAGTTGCAGAGCTCCTCTGGAACTCTGGCCATTTCTTTTGGTGCCTAAACAGGAGCAGCATCTTGTTTGCAACTCGGATGCCTTTTGTGAGTGCTGAGCACTTGGAAATCTGGCCCTCTTAACAAAGATTTTCATGCTTTACAGCATGATCCTGTACAAATAAAGCCTCTCTCCCTGCTGTTGCTACCCTCGCAGAAAAGTGGTGCAGCTCAGCAATATCTGCAGATAGGAAGGCCTTCCATATGCGGATCTGAAAGCTGTGAGCTTAGAGCATTATTTTATGATTATCCTGCCCCACACAGTATTGCGTTACCAGCCTGTGCTTTCAAATGACCCCAAATTATACCACGTTTTAGCTGCAAAGGCTTTAAATCATTCTGAAAACTGGCACTCTGGTGCCAACATTATTTCCCCTTTGCACAAGGCCTGACAGCTGAGGCTTCTAAATGAACTATATATATTCGGGTTGAACTGGACATTTGCTGACCTCCCATCAAATTGAGTCGAGTCTCTCGACAGCTACCAGAAAACCCGACAAAACCCCAGCAAGCCCTATTTCTTCCAGGATTCCATGGCTACAAAATGTAGTGCAGGGGAAAAGATGCTTTCAGTGTGGAAAGAGAGAGGGAAAGATTGTCTTGGTAAATGGGAATTACCTGAAACTTTGTGAGGAGAGATGAGACCTTTGCTACAATGGGCAGTTCATTGAGCTCATTCTTAATTTATATGCACACAGTTTTAATGCAAAGACAGCAGACTATGAATATTTAACTTCCTGCCTAGTTTTAACCCCATTAGCAGCCACTTGAGATTGTTATTTGCCGTCTTATCATGTCAAATGTAATTTTCCGATGTTGCTAAACAGGAGGACAGAACGGCATTTGCAAGGAAATATTCTACAGCTAACAGCAGGGCAAAGGTAAATCTGCAGGAGCCCCAGATCAGGGGCGGAAGAGAAAGAAATGACTGTCTGATTTTTAGAGGGGGTGGGCACCACACCTCTGGAAATTCTGCCTGTTAGGACAGAGAGGGATGCAAATTATCCCTTGCTCCTGTGTGGCTGGGGAGCCCCGGAGGCTATAGCAAGATTTATTGGACTGCTTGATTTATCCTGGGATTTGTCTAAGGAGAGACTCAGAGCTACAATTCCTACAAAAGAAAAACAAACCACTTCACATAGCAAACACTGACCCTTTCCTGATCTTCCTAATCCCCATGCTGTGTTCCTCCTTCCCACCCTGTCATAACTACTGTTGATCTCTACAAGTCATTTTATTTTTCACGGGGTCAAATATGCAAGTTTCACTTTCATATCTTTCAGCCTCAACAATCATATTCGTGATATACCCATCCCTGTGGTATTTAGGCCACCTCTATAAATATAATTTAAGGAGCTTGGGCCAGATCTTCAACTGGGGTAAATTAACATAGCTCCATCGACTTCATCCCTTTATATCAACTGAGGATCTGGGCCTCTTTTCCTTCAAGGATTGGCTTGGACTGCAAAAGGCTGACACTGTCTGGCTTTGGATTGTGGCAAGGTGAGCTGCAGCCCCACAGATATATCCTCAGGAGATGCCAACTAGAAGCACCCTCTGAGAATTTATACTCAATGCAACCTTAGCTTTGAAGCAATTAAAAAGCAACCACTGAGAGAAAATTACCACCCTGGCCTGACCCACGTATTTCTTTTAGAGAACACTAATGCTCTTAAAGATCCATCCCAGGTTGCGCCTTAGAAGCTATGCTCATGTGTGAAAGAAGAAGCTGTTCCCTTGCAAGGCTTGCACTCATATACACACACACTAATAACCCAATGACCTCTAGCGAGTGCGGAATTTTCTCTCGGCTGCCAAAGAAATACTTCAAAAATGTCTTGTACTTACAGTTTTTGCGAGGCAGCGGTGGGTCCCAAGGAAGACTTGCTCTTTATTCAGAATGCTCTGCAACTTTAATACAAGTAAGTCCAGACACCAAACTCCTGCAAGAGCAGCTCTGAATCTCTCTTCCTCTCCCTTGTTCCTCTGTCTCATTTCTCTCAACAGCCATTCTCTCTCTCTCTGTGCGTTGGTCTGTCTCCTTCTCCCAGGAGGTTGCAGCCCTTGTTAAGAGGAAAGTAAAGCAAGAAAGAAGCAGACTGGGTTTCTGGGGGGGGGAGAAAGAAAATCAACCAGCTGCATAAATCCAAATGACCTAATCACTTTCCTACAAAAGATGAAAGCCAATTAGAGTCAGAGGAATCCCCATCTGGTGTGACCACCTGTATTTCTCAGTGCCCTGAGTCAGAGAGACGTGTGTGTACGTGTGTGTACACACACACGTACTGGATTATAAGAGCCATGCTAAGCCTTTTATGGCACCCAGTGCTAGCACAGGATGTTTTGTAAGAGGGCCTCTCTCTCTCTCTCTCTCTCTCTGAACTTGCAGGGAAAACAAAAGCAATAGGGAAAGGGAGGCAGAAGGAAGAACTAAAATAGGAAAGATGAAAAGCAGGAGATGTTTCCAATGAGACACAGAGGGCCAAAAGGTAGCCCTAGAGAGACAAATGTAACTCCCTTGACTTGTGGAAAGTTTTGCCTGCTTGAGCCAGGACTGAATTTAGCTCAAGGTCTCAGAAAGCATCTCATTAAGCAGCTGCTCAGTCCACACCCTAGATCCTTTAGGGGCAGGGGAGAGAGATGCAAATGATCCCTTGTGCCTGTTTGGCTTGAGCCAGAGCCCCGGAGGACGAGGCAAGATTTAATGAACTGCTTGATTCACTTGAAACCACCTTCCCCAAAGGAGGACATTCCATGAGAGAAGTAGAGCACATCACGGAATGGGCCTCCCTAATGCCGCGAACGAGTCTGCTTCAATACAGAAAAGAAAAAAAAACACTGACTGCACACCCTTAGCTGTCACCTACCACCCCACACGAGAACCCAAAGAGGGTATCATCAAACAGTTACAACCCATACTCCATGGGGACCACATCCTGAAAGAAATCTTTCCCAAACCCTCTCTTTTGGCCTTCAAACAATCCTGTAGCATCGCTAAGCTCATCATCAGAAGCTAGCCTCTCAAGGCCAGGACCCACCATCTCAAAGCAGCACCAGGCCCTGTCATAACAGATGCAAAACCTGCAGCCATATCTCCACTGCTATGATGGTCAATACCACCCCGCCCTCACACACACCTTTGAAGACCCAAGGGTCCTACACATGCCCATCACAACATGTGCTGAACCTTGTCCAGTGCATCAAATGCCCAAACAACAACAACGTGGGTGAAACTAGACAATCACTAGATTCTAAATTGAACTCACACAGAAAAATGATAAGACAAAAACACCCTATCTCCTGCAACTGATCACTTTTCACAAAAATACTCTATAGCTGGCCTCTCAGTCTTTGTCCTCAAAGGAAACCTGCACAACACCTTCAGAAGAGGAGGCTGGGATCTTACATTCATAACTCTGCTAGACACCAAAGGTCAGGGGTTCTAGAGAGACACTGGTTTTATGTCTCATTACAACACTTTGTAACCCACCAACTTGCCTTTGTCCTATGATGGTTGGTGTTAATTGCCCACTTCATTTTGAACAATTTCTTGGAACATGTGTTAACTCCTTATGCTTAACAATCTGTTCCATCTTGTATTCAGCTGTGACACTCTGATTAACTTTCCCAGCCCTGAAGAAGAGCTCTGTGGAGCTCAAAAGCTTGACTCTTCCACCAACAGAAGATATTCCTCACCAACCTTGTTTCTCAAAGTATATCCCAGCAGCTGCTTCCCAAAGTTATATTTGCATAATGGTCCAGAGCAGTTTTTTCCGGTGCCAACGTCACCATCTACTGAGGAGCTCCCTACACTATGAAACTCTCTCTAATTCGTTCTCTTTACCACTTATTTTTGCTGACTCTCTTCATATTGAATTGCACACGTTCACATATGTCTGGGAAAATGGTTGATGATCCCATTGGATATCACTTCCTAAATCTGTGAGCTCCTTGAGACAATGGATGCATCCTAAACCAGCACATGCATAGCACTCTATCCGTGTATAGTCACCCAGGCTTGGATATGTAGTAGGGTTTGAACCTGCATGCTTCAGATCTAAAAGCATGAGCAGCTATCACTTGACCTAAAGAGCTCAGCCCCTGTAACGTCCCCCCACCCTGTCCTATTATCTTATCTGTAGTAGCCTCTTTAAGCTGTTATGTACACCAGACAGTACAGGGCAACAAAGACTCAGTTTCTTTTAGTGTGGGTTGCATGTGTGCTTAGCTCAGACAAGGAGTCCCCCTTTTGCAGATTGGGAACTGAGGCACCGAGAGAGTTAAGGGCCAGATGTTTAAAGGTATTTAGGTGCCTACAGATGCAGATAGGCACCTAGTTGGATTTTCAAAAGAGCCTAAGCAGCTAATTTCCAGCCCCCTAGGTGCCCATTTTCATCTTTAGGTGCCTAAATACATTTTAAAATCTGGCCCCAGGTGCCATGTCCATGGTCACACGAGAAGCATGTGGCAGAGCTGGAAACGAAACTTCCAAATCCTACTCCAGGATCCTAACACGGGACCATCCTTCCTCTCTCACCTGATTACTATGTGAAACCAAGCACTAGATCATCTAAAACTGGGCCCAGACTAGTTCTAACCTTTGTCCACCTTTGCAAAAAGCTAGCAAACCTTTCGGAGACTCTGAGCTCAACTTTCAGTGTTGTCCGGAACCAAGCAAGGTTAATTATTACAGATGTTTCATGCAGTTCTACATAGGAGCTCTATTTTTAAAGCAAACCAGGCCATAAAAAATGAAGAAATCAACAGCAAGATGACTAAAATGACTCCACATGAAAGCGAATTCCCATCCCCTACCAGCTATTTTCATCTCCTATTAGCTTTCCAGTGGGAGGATTTAATTTGCATTTAAATAGAAACCTTAGGAACATGGCCAATCTAATGTTAAAATGCTAATTACAAATGCATTTGCCTCTTTAAAAATTAAAAAGAATGTCAACGTGCATTTTAATGGAGGGCTTATTAGAGGTTTGGTTTTATTAGATACTTAGTATTTATAAGTTATTATTATTTAACAGACTGTTTACAGCTCAATCCAGACAGCTGAAAAGTTAGACATCAAGGAATTTGCAAGATCTGAGCTGACTGCTATGGAGGTGGGAACATCATCATGAAAAAAGTCCTCTCAGGCCATGAAACACCTGGTTGAGTAGAATATAAATTATAAGGTAAGGGGAAGGAACTGTGGAAAGGGAATCTGACGTGCCCCCAAATGAAACAGCCACTATGGATAAGTAAGTGAAAAGATGCAAATGAGCTCCATCCATCCATCAAGGCACCTAAGCACTTGCATAAATTTAAGCATGTGAGTAGTCCCAGTGGAACTATTCTCACACACAAAGTCACACACCTCTTTTTGTGGGTCAGGGTCTAGGAGGTTTGTCTACTGATCCCTGTGTTTCTACTAGGATACTCTGAAACCTTGGATTCAAACTCCCTGAGTGTTCCAATTTGGCGGCTTAGGCTCCCACCTCTAATGATGATCATTCCTCTTCTTACATGTCTGTACAGTGCCTATCACTATGTATTACATACATTAAGATGCTTTTAGACTCCGGAGCCTGTGGCATGAAAAATGAAAACAGAAAGTTGGTCAAAAAATTTCAAAAAGTGAAATTCCAGTGAATATTTGTTGTAGAATTTTCAAGTATTTAAGAAAAAAATTGTTTGGTGAAAACGTTTGACTCATTTTTCAGCCGCTTTAAAACGGAGATTGCCATGCTCCCTAACGGACATTTATTCACCTCAGAAAAACATGGGTGAATGGTCAACAGCTGGGACCAAACCTGAGATCTCTGGATTAGAACAGCTCAGAAAAACTTCAATGGAACCATTTGCCACTGGAAAATGCAGATTCCCCCATCACACTCGAAACACTTAGTGGAGTCCTATCAATTCCTCTGAATTTTTGTTTCAGGGAAAAAACGGGGTGGAGGGCACAGGGGAAAGGAAGAAGTGAACATTCAAACAAAGCTGAAATGTCCCGTTTCAACAACTGGGGAATGAAACATTTTGCTTTTGCATTTTGAAAGGTCTTCATTTCAAATGTCTCTCACATGGAACAGATCTAATCAAAAGCTGTTGACATTGAATTTTGAAAAAGCATTCCGGTTTCATTCCGATGCCCAACAAAGCCAAATTCTGAAATCTCAAAATCCGTCACAGACTGGAGGTGTTGTCCTCCAGCCAGTGCATGAGTTGTTATGCCCGACTGAAGAGACTCACCTCTCTTATTAGCCAAGCCTGTCGCAGGCTCATCAACCTCCAGGTGGCCCAGCCATCACTAGAAGGGCACAGGGCGCCTCAGCAAGTTGGCATGGGTTACATTACAGAGCAACATAAAATGGGTTGAGACAGCCAGTACTAGGGGAGTTTAATGGGAAGGCCTAGAACTGGGACTCAGGACACCTGGGGGTCTATTCCAGCCTTTGCCGCTGACCTGCTGTGTGATCTTGGACAAGACACCATCTCTCTGTTCCCCTCCCACCTTTGGTCTATTTTAAACTGTAAACTATTTTGGGGAAGGGACTAGCTCTTATTATGTGTATGCACAGTGCCTTACACCACATGACCTGACCTTAGCTGGGATCTGTAGGTCCTACAGGAATATGAATACTAACAGGATACCAGAGATGTTGCAGGGTTGATCATGAATGTATCAACAGAGATGCATGTGGGGAAGCTTGCAGTCTCTGTCCTCATGGTTTCATTCTTGCTAATGCTAATAAAATCGTTCATAAGTGCTAATGCTATTAGCCCATCAAATCTAATACACCCTGCTTTTTAAAACATAACATTACGATCTTTCATTTGCCTGGCAATCATTTCTTAAAAGAGTAATTCAGTGAGACTTACCTTCCCAGCGAGAATAAACTGCATCACATTAACATCTGCAAAAGACAAAAGAAGTGAAAGATCAAGACTGTGGAAGAAAGAGGGTTTGCTCTAGATAGAGAAATGTGTTGCAGCGATAGGTAGATCAGTTCGGCCACAAAAGCCAACGTGTTCATTGCATGACTGATGACTTCCCTGTTGTCTGAGCCAGACCTGACAAGCTGGAAAATAACTGTCTCTCAAGAACCAAGCTTACGTAACATGCTACAGAGACTCCAGAGTCTTCATATACAAAGATAGGAGTTGGCTTAGCCTAGAAGTTGCTTTTTAAATGGTAAAAAAGCCACAGCAGTGTATATAGCTGCTAGACCTCTTTCCACCTACACCATCTCACTGGCTGCTGGGGGCCTGCTCTCTAATGAAAGGGAGGGACGCAGAGGCAGACAACAACTGCCATGGAAACAAACCCACCAAACAGATTTGGAAGTCAGACTGTTCCATTAGATGAGTGGGAGAGAGAGAAAGACAGGTTCGTCTAGCAACTTATGTTTAAATATGGTCAGAGCAGAGGACAATGTCAAGTACAACTACAGAACAAGCAGGACAAAAATCCATCCATGGATTGACTCCAGCTGGTGTCCTCATTTTTATGGATAGTCTTAGCATTGCCCTGGCATGGGGGCAGATGCAGAGGGATCTCAAGATGCTTAACAGCTTGTGGGTTGGTAATGGCCCAGTCAAATTCTGGCCTGCCCTGGCAAGCAGGGACCAGGTAGCAAAAATGTCCTGCCTCTCTGAAAATGAGGCAGGAGGACCTAAATTTAAAAAACAAAACAACAAAACCCGTAAAGATTTTCTGCAAGCCAACATCTGTTTCCATGGGAACAGCAGCAGCAGAATTGTCCAGACTCTTGTAAATTACACAAATAGGCTGAACGCTACAAATTTCAGGTTCCCTCCCATCGCACCTGCAGCCTTTAAGATTCAGCCGGCTCCTAACATATGCAGTTTGTCAAAGAGGTGGCCATTTTTTCCACCCCCTGCTCTTTCCTTGGCGTATTAAATAATCTGGAGGCAACTAACCTGCCTCGTGGATCCTTTACCTTGTGGCATCAGACCAGATACTGTTTTTGCATGTATGCTTTACGCAGCAAGGTGTTTTAGAGCAGCTAGTAAAGGGTTAATTTCCCAGCATTCATTGACTAATGCACTATGAGCCAGATTCATCTCTTGGGTCATTCTGCTGAAGCTTCTGCAGTGGCCCCTCTGCTATTGATGGATCCCTTGGCTGAGCTGCAGAGATGAGACCAGGCGAAGGGTAATGGAAGAGAACAAATGGCTTATTCCACACACCCCAGACTCTAATGGTGGCTCAGCAGCCCAACGGATAGGAATCCTCTTCAGAGCAGGAGATCTGACGTCTGTTCAGCAGCGTGGGATTTATTTCCAGGGTAAAAGAGGTGTAACACATTGGCCAGGCATGTCTTGGTGCCAGTCCGTGGTTGACCCATACAGGATCGCCACCTACTAACTGCTCATAGCCAGCAAAATTAGCCCTTTCGTTTACATGGTAGAGGCCTGTATTGTGGAGTTAGAACTGCTGGATCCAGTCCTTACTGACAATCTCTCTCATAGATCTGGCAGTCTGGCATTTAATTAATTCTCCCTCTTGCAGGGCCCTCAGCTAGTTCTGCCATAGCTAGTCACCTCAATCCTTGGAAGCGTGAGCTCAGAGCTTCAGGATCTCTCAAGGGGAGAAATTCATCGGCTGCTCCTGAATCTCTGACAAACAGAGAGAGGCATCATTTCAGCAGACGCAGCCTCGAAGAAAAGATAGTGGCTGGAAAAATACATACATGACAGCAACATTCAAAATTAGCCAGTTAGTAGCGTTTCATCATTATCAGCAGAAGACGTTAAGCTGCATAACAAGACAGCCTATATAAACGGGATGAAAAATAAGCCATCATTCTTTCTGTGACTTTTTTTTTTTAAGTCCATGTTTATTTACAGCTGTGAAAATGTTTGTTCTTATGGAGAAAGCTTACTTGGGACCTAGCAGGAATCAAAATAGCTGATCTCTACTCAGGATTACCATTGTGATAAATGGAAACCCATGGAAATTAACCAGTGGTTTGCCATTGTCATGAGCTCCCTATGCTCTGAGTTCAGTAACACTGTCTTGTATGTTAAGAAGGTAAAGATGATTTCCTACGTAGTCCAGCACAAGAGGCAGTGCAGTTAGGATAGCAGATCATAAATCAGGACTTCTACATTCTGTTCCCAGCTCTGAGAGAGTGAGAAAGAGTAAGTGAGCGCGTTTGTCTAATGGTTTGAGCAAGGCAAATCAGAGTCAGGACTCCTAGATTCTATTCATAGCTGGGGGGGGGGGCAGTGGTTAGAGCAGGTGGCTTAGGAATCAGGTGTCATGGGCTCCATTCCCTGACCAGGAAGAGGAGTGTACTCTGGTGGTTAGGTCAGAGGAATGAGAGTTGAGACTTATGGGTTCTGTTCCTTGCTCAGCCATCGTCTTATTGTGAGCTCTCTGGGCAAGCCAGCTAAACTCTCTGTATTGGTTTAGAAATCTGTAAAATGGGCATGTCATTTATTCTCCTCACAAGAGGCAGGGTGTTAGGTTTAGCTAGTGTCTGCCATGCATTTGGAGATCATCTGGTTGAGAAAGCCCTCGAGGAAGTTCAGCGTTCATAAGAATTTCTGAAAATACTTTGGGGAACTTTAGCTGAGCCTTAAAGACAGCAAGTGTGTTAATCACTAAACAGGTGTACACCATTTAGTTTGCATGCCAGTGGGGCAGAACCCTGTACTGATAGGTGAGCACCTGCATTCAGAAGTCCATTCATTCTCTAGCTCCACAGTTGGGTGGATGAAAAGTTAAGTCACAAGCCTCTAGGGTCCAGGTCTAGGCACTTTTGCAAATATCCAATGCCTTGCAAAACAACAAGAGAAACTAGTGGATTGGGCGGAGCTATGTTCACAACAATGGGAGAAGACAGAGTACCACCACGGCAAATGGATGGGACGATTACCTTTTCCTTATGCGTCTGATACCTTATTGTCTTCATCAGGGCAGCTCTCTAAGACGTGCTACAGCCCCAGCTGCTCCCCATCCCTGGGATGTCTGACGAATATGGAGACAAGTTGATTATAATTGACCTTACTGCTGCAGTGCCCCAGCCATTCCCTATTTAGCAACCATTTTGCTGTCATTACTCTCCTAGGGCTATTTCTGCCGAGCACAGATCCTTGCTGACAGGTCTCAAGAGAAGACTGCAGTGCATAAAATTAGATGGGTGGGAGAGGCAGTCTGAGATGGCAGCCTGCCAGCAATCTGTGGGTGGTATGACCCAAGGGGAAGGCAGCGACAAGCACAGCAGAGGAGGGGCTAGCTGGTTAAGAAGGGAGAGTTGATCCTAGCCCAGCCATCATAACTCCCAGTTCACTGATGGGAATTCAGGGCACAGAGGATGGAGGGAAAGGCACAGAGGCAAAATATAAACAAACCAGATAATTGAAACAAAAGCTGGTGCAAATATAGTCTTCCCTTTTTATCTAGCGGGGGTCTCTGTACCCAGACTTGTTTGACCTATTGCTACACGTTAGTGCTCACTGAAGTTTCTCTGCACTGACAGGGGCATGACAGCCAGCATGATTGGACCTTTCACTTGCGTTTCCTGGATATAGGGGCAGCTATTCTCTTTAGCCAGATATACAAAAAAACCAAACCAAAACAAAACCCGCTGCTCCTTCTCCCTGAGATGCAGATGCAACTCTTGCACTTGTGAAGTATTTTCTGAAGAAAGGACAAGCGGCTACTGTCTCCTCCATACTAAGCAACAGAATGCCTCGGGAAGCCATGTCCTGGCAGGATGCTGAGAGCTGTCACAGCACAGACCAGCAGCAGGTGTTTACGTTCACAAAGTGACTGGAAAGGAAGCAGAAGGGTCTGCGCCCAAGCAAAGTAAATAAAGTGTCAGACTTGTAGTCGAGTTAAGCAGTCGGATTAGCCAGCTTGAGGGGTTCTCTCTGAGTGGATGGGATGAAGCACTAGCATAAGGCTCTTGGCTATGGAGCCGACATAGAGCAGTCAGGACGAGATAAAATCCAGAGAGTGGGGGATAATGCAGCCAAGAAAGCATAGTTTGTGCATTGCTTCCTGCTCTGTGTTCCCCAGCAATCAGTCTCCGTGGACAGGCCCCTCCTACCCCGCTGCCAGTCCTCTCTACGGAACATTGCTGCTGTCTCTCTGAACATAAAGAAAAAGGCATGAGGCTTCCACCCTCAGAGGGATTAATTGTAACAGACAGGAAAACGGATCAAATCCCCAGCCAGACTCTGTAACTAGGATTTCATACATCTACTGAAACAGATGATAAAAAGGGCAAGACAATGTATGTGCAGGGTGGGCTTGTGGCTAAGGCACTGCTACAGAACTCAAGAGGGCTGGATTCCAGGTGTGACCTTTGGCCAGTCATTTACCCTCTCTGTGCCTCAAATACAAATCCCTCCTCCCTCCCACTATTTATCATGGCTGGACTGTACACCCTTTAGGGCAGGGACCATGGCTCACTCCATGGATATACAGCACCTAACACAATAGGTCCCAATCTTGGTTGGGGCTGCTGAAATACTGCTAATTCAGAGATTCCAAGGTCAGACAGGACCATTGCGATCATCTAGTCTGCATAACACAGGCCACAGAACTTCCCCACAATAATTCCTAGAGCAGATCTTTTAGAAAAACATCCTGTCTGGATTTATAAATGCTCAGTGATGGAGAATCCACCACGACACTTGATCTTTCATGCAGACTCTCACCTTCATTATCGTTATTATTTGGTAGCTTCCTATGGCTAGCAAAGCTGATCAGTCAATAGCCTGCTGCTACTTAGCCGTCCGAGTTCTGATAAAAGTGACACCATTTCCCACTTCGCTCCACTCATAAGGGTGTGTTGAAGAGCGATCAAGCCACGTGAGCAACGCATTGAGTGGGTAGAGCAACATGGGGGCTATGAGAACTGACTCACTATTCCCAATGCTGCCACTAATTCATGGGAGCTTGCACTCCCTCGTCTAGTCGGTGTAGGCTCTTAAGCCACACTCCTCGCTGTATTATCAGAGCGTCTTCCAGGCGGGCATTAAGCATCGGGACTAGCATCTGTCACATGTTCAGTCATCCTCTCCCCAGGGCAGATATGGGAACAGTGCCATGTTTGTTTTGGATTTATATACACACGCATGCTTATATTATATACACACACTATCTGTGTACACACAAATACACATATATGGAGTATGTGGGTAATATCTAATCAACACACACAGCTGTCTGTTTACGGTAGAGAGGGC